TAAGCAGTCACTTCCCATTTCCCCAATTACTACGTTTTGTGTCTAGCTTCTTTTGCACAACATGTTTTTGAGATTTATCCATACTGTGTATATTAGTAACTGACTGCTTTTCCTTTTTTCTTTTTTTTTTTTTTTTTTGGTGGCTAGCTGGTACGGGCATCCAAACCCATGACTTTGATGTTAAAAGGCTGCACTCTAACCAACTGACTGCTTGTAAATGTTGAGAAGTATTCATTATATTCCATCTCCAACATTTGAGATAATGCATCCCCAGTCCAGAATTTTTCAGTGCTGTATTTGTTAAGGTCTAGGCTATGCTGCTATAACAAAGAGCACCCAAAATTCCGTGGCCCAAGAAAGCTACAAGTTGATTTCTCCAAAGGTAGGCAGGTGTGCAGGATGGATAGGCGGCTTTGTTCCAAAAGGTTGTTGAGGAGCTCAGTGTTGTCCTCATCCCTGTGGTCAAGGCTGGCTCACCACCACATCCACGTTCCAGCCATTGAGAAGGGGAAGAGGGTGGAGGGCATATAGCTTCCTCTTACTGCTGGGTCCCAGAAATTGCACACCTCATAGCACTCTTATTCCATGAGAGAGACCTTAGTCATGTGACCATGCCTAGCATTGTACCCCAGGAAGTGTAGCCTCCAGCTGGGCACCTTGTGGCAGTGACAAGATGGATTGGGGGTTCTGTTATAAAAGGGACAGAGCGGGGACTGGATATGGAGCAGTAGTTATGGGATCCATAGGTATTTGCTTGAACCTAGGGCAGCTGACCTGTTGTCCTCCCCTTTTCCCTCCCAGGTCTGGGGTCTACCCTAGGTTCCCATAATCCCCTCTGTCTCAGCCTGGACTGTGGGGGATACGGAGTTTTTTAAACTTTTTTTTAAGTTAAATGCAGTTGGGGTTTTTTTTGTTTTTAATAATAATTTTAAATTTATAGGATGGTTGAAAGAATAAGAATACTGCAAAGAACAACTGTATACCCTTTACCCAGATGAACCTGTTTTAACATTTTATGCTATTCACTTTATGAGTTGCATGTTTTCTTTCTCTCCTCTCTTTCTATGTACATGAACACACTTTTTATTTGTTTTTTTTTTTTTTCCTTTTTGTCTTTTTTACTGACCGGTAATGGGATCGCAACCCTCGGTGTCGCGCCCGTACCGGGGACCGGCAACGGGATTGCAACCCTCGGTGTTGCGCCCGCACTGCGCTCAGCCAGTGAGCGGGAACCGGTCTCCACATGGGATCCGAACCCTCGGCGGGAGCGCTGCCGCACTCCCAAGGGGCGCACTCTCCAGTGCACCACCGGGCCGGCCCTGAACACACTTTTTAAAAAAGAGTTCAGAATAGCTTGCATATGTCATGGCTGTTTACCCTGAAAGACTTGAGTGTGCATCTCCTTAGAATGTCCTCCTACTGAACCACAGTAAAGTTACCAACTTAACTAAATTTAACCTGAATACAATCTTGTCTAATCTACCAGAGGATATATACTTTTATATCATTACATCTTGTCAAAGTATACCCCCAAAATAATTTTTTATAGTTTACAATTAAGAAAACATATAAACATATATAAATATTCTCTATTTGGTTTGTGTTTTGTTTGGATTGGGGGAGGGAGTGGGTTACTATAAAGGGCATTTTGGGGATAATTGGAGGAATTGAGAGACACACTCTTTACATGGGTTTTTTTTGTTTGTTTCTATTTAATTTTTAACATTTACTTGTATGTATTTGTGGGGTACAGTGTGTCGTTACAATACATTCATATACTGCACAGTGATTCACTTAGGGTGGTGAGCACAGTGTTGTACCTGTTAGTCCACCACTTCTCCTCCCCAACACCTTTCCTCCTCGCCCCTCCCCTCCCTTCCTCTCTCGACTGCTGGTTAAGATTATTCTACTCTTTAATTCTGTGAGAACCACTTTTCTTTTTCTTTTTTAAGATTCCACATATGAGGAGATTATGTAGTATCTTTCTTTCTGTGCCTGACTTACTTCACTTAACATGGTGGTTTCTAGTTCCATCCATGTTGCTGCAAATGATAGGATTTCATTTTATATGTATATGTATAGCTAAATAGTATTCCGTTGTGTAAATATACCAGTGTTTTAATTCATTCATCCACTGATGGGCATTTAGGTTGATTACATCTCTTTTGTGAACAGTGTTATGATGAACATGGGCGTGCAGGTGTCTTTTCGATATATTGAAAAATTGAGTTACTTGGTCTTTTGCTGTTGACGCCCTTACTGATGGGCATTTAGGTTGATTACATCTCTTTTGTGAACAGTGTTATGATGGACATGGGCGTACAGGTGTCTTTTCGATATATTGAAAAATTGAGTTACTTGGTCTTTTGCTGTTGACGCCCTTATCTATTCTGCGTATTAGCCCCTTGTCTGATGTGTAGTTTGCAAACAGTTTCTCCCATTCTGTAGGTTGTCCCTTCACTCTGTTGATTGTGTCCCTTGCTGGGCAGAAGCTTTTTAGTTTGGTGTAGTGCCATGTGTCTATTTTTGCTTTAGTTGCCTGTGCCATTGTGGTCTTGTACAAAAAAGTGCTCCCCCATTCTCATTTCATGTAGGGTTTCTCCTTTGTTTTCTTCTAGTAGTTTCGTAGTTTCAGGTCTTTAATTAAGGTCTTTGATCCATTTTGAGTGGATTTTTGTGTATGGTGAGAGATAGGGGTCTAGTTTCAGTCTTCTGCATGTGGGTATCCAGTTTTCCCAGCACCATTTACTGAAGAGGCTCTCCTTTCCCCAGTATGTATTTTTGGCACCTTTGTTGAAAATCAGTTGGCTGTAAGTGTGTGGATTTACTTCCGGGCTCTCTGTTCTGTTTCATTGATCTATTCATCTGTTTTTATCCCAGTATTACCCTGTCTTGGTTACTATAGCTTTATAGTATATTCTGAAGTCATCATACTAGATACCTCCAGCTTTGTTCTTTTTGTGGAAGATTGCTTTTGTGGCTGGCCTGTACGGGGATCTGAACCCTTGACCTTGGTGTTACCACACTGCACTCTAACCAGCTGAACTAACTGGCCAGCTTGGACATTTTGATGATGTTATTTCTTCCAACCCATGAACATGGGATATCTTTCCATTTACTGTCATCTTCAGTTTCTGTCACCAATGTTTTATAGTTTTCATTGTAGAGATCTTTCATCTCTGGTTAAATTTACTCCTAGGTGTTTTCATTTTTTCGGGGTAGCTATTGTGAATCAGATTACTTTCTTGATTTTTTTCTTCAACTATTTCATTATTGGCATATAGGAACACTATTGATTTTTGTGTGTTGATTTTGTATTCTGCCACTATACTGAATTATTTATTAGTAATTTTTTGTGGAGTCTTTAGGGTTTTCTATGTATAGGATCATGTCATCTACAAATAGGACTAGTTTGATTTTCTTTCTTTCCAATTTTGATGCCCTTTATTGCTTTCTCTTGCCTTACAGCACTGGCTAGAACTTCCAGTAAGTACTGTGTTGAATAGAAGTGAGGAAAGTGAGCATCCTTGTCTTGTTCCAGATAGAGGAAAAACTTCCTATTTTTGGCCATTCAGTATGATGTTAGCTGTGAGTTTGTTGTGTAAGGCCTCTATTGTGTTGAGGCACATTCTTTCTCTACCTAATTTGTTGAGTGTTTTTATCATGAAGGGGTGGTAGATTTTATCAAATGCTTTTCTGCATCTATTGAAATGATCATATGGGTTTTTTTCCTTCATTCTGTTGATGTGATGTATCACTTTTATTGATTTGCATATGTTGAACCATCCTTGTATGCCCGGAATAAATCCCACTTGCTCATGGTGAATGATCTTTTTAATGTGTTATTGGATTTGGTTTGTTAGTATTTTGTTGAGGATTTTCACATCTGTATTCATAAGGGATATTGGTCTGTAGTTTTCTTTTTTTGTTGTGTCTTTTTCCAGTTGGGTATGAAGGTAATAGAATGAAGTTGGAGGTATTCCCTCCTCTTTAATTTTTTGAAAGAATTTGGAAAAAATTAGAATTAGTTCTTTTTTAAATGTTTAGTAGAATTTGGTATTGAAGCCCTCTGGTCCTGGGGTTTTCTTTGTTGGGAGATTTTTTATTACTGCTTCAATCTCATTACTCATTTATTTTATATTATTCTTGAGTCAGTGTTAAATGTCCTGGATTTGATCATTGTACGGTGCTTATTTAAGGGAATGTCTTTCTTCTTAAGAGCTACATGCTAAAGTATGTAGCAATAAAAGGGCACGGTATCTGCAGTGAATTCTCAGATGCTTCAGGAAAACTAATGATATCATGATGTGTGCACCCTGTATATGTCAGAGGGCAGAGAGGGAGTGAGGAAGCAAATGTAACAACATATTGGCAATTAGGGGGAAGGGTATACAAGAGGTCTATGAATTTGAAATTCTTTCCAAAAAAAAGGGTTTTTTTTTTTTTTTAATGCAGTGGCCTCTGCAGTGTTATAAGCTTGGAAGGGACCTGATCAGATTCATATTTCAGGTCCTGCCCTGGCACCTAATGCAGTGCCTAGAGTGAAGTCAGTGCTTCCCAGCTGTTCACTGAATGAAGGCCTGGGCAGATGGACAGCTGGGTAGGCCAGGGCATCAGGGCCAGAGGTTTGTGGGGAGTAAAGGGATGTGCCAAGGACCAAGTCTGATGGGGAGAAAGGGTTGAGAGCATGTGGGGCAGGTGATGAAGGGTCTGTAAGGGACAAAAAAGGGAAAAGTTTGTGGAGGGCTTGAGCATCTAAGGTAAGAATTAAACTGAGGTGGGGAGTAAAAAGGGGCATAACTGTATTAGCTAACAATTAATTATCTGGAATGTGCCAGGCACCTCATCAGCCTACAGGGTGGAGAGTTGTGTTATTCTTTAACCACTCCAGAGTATTAAAAGGCTTGAGGTCATGGTGGGTGCATGGGAGGCCATGGAAAAGACAAGGGAAGGGGTATCTCTGGTCAGAACCTCTACCAAGCCCCAACTTGCCCAGCAGGATGGATGGTAAACGGCGGCCAGGCCCAGGCCCCGGCGTGCCCCCGAAGCGGGCCCTTGGGGGCCTCTGGGATGAAGATGAGGCACCTCAGCCATCCCAGTTTGAGGAGGAGCTGGCGCTGATGGAGGAGATGGAGGCGGAGCACAGGCTACAAGAACAGGAGGAGGAGGAGTTGCAGCCAGCCTTGGAGGGGGCTGCAGATGGTAAGACTTCATTAGAGCAGGAGCCCCCTACAACCTCCCTACCACTCCAAGTCTTGCCTCTGGATGAAGAGTCAGCTGCAAGGCTGACCTGAGACCCCACTTTGACCCACAACTTCTGGCAGACTTGGAGTCCTATAAAGGGCTGACCTTTGACCCCATGCCAGTATGCAAACTTTTTTGCCTTTAACTTCTCTCCTGACCCTGACCTTTGGCTCCCAATCTCTCCTGAGTTTCCTGCCTGACCCAGACCACCACTTCCACCTGACTTTTCATTTGTAGGTCAGATGCCATCTGAGGAATAATGGGCTGGCCTGGGAGGGCAGTTACTTATTTCTGAGGGAAGACCATGACTCCACGTAGCCCCACTTCTCCCCATCCACAGGGCAGTTATCCCTGTCAGCCATAGATTCTCGCTGGCTTCGGCCCACCCCGCCCACCCTTGACCCCCAGACGGAGCCCCTCATCTTCCAGCAGTTGGAGATCGACCATTATGTGGGTGAGTTTGGCAGGTAAAGAGGCAGAGTGAGGGGGATCTGGGCTCCTGGGGTGGACACCGGGCCAGGTCAACTCCCCTGGCTTTGCCCCTCAAGCAGTCAGTGTCTGTGTGAGGAGATTGACCCAGGAAGTCCCCACCCTGGTGACCAGGGCCATGAGAGGGAAGGACAGGGCTGGGGTGCCAGAGCAGGAGGCAAGGAGTCAGAGTGGGCAGGTGGGAGCCAGGGTCCAAGAAGGCTTCCTGGAGGAGGGGAGCATCTTCCAGCTGAGGCCTGAGGGTAAGAAGAGTTGTCTCCATGCAGAGGGGAGAGGCATATTTTTCCATTTATTTATTCATTCATCCAGTTAGAAGCTACTGAGCATCTACATTGAGCTAGGCCCGATTCCAGGCAGACAAGGTCTCTGCCCTCAAAGTCTTGTGTTCTAGAAGGAGAGACAATAAAAAAGGAAACATAACATCCAGTGATGGTGAGGGTTACAGAGGAAGGTAAACTTGGATGGAGGGTGCCAGAGTGTGTATCACGGAGGTTGGGGAAAGCCTCTGAGGAGGGGCTAAGGAGCTGAGGGGATGTCTGGAAAAGAGGGATTCTAGGCAGATGGTCCTGACAAGGGAGCAGGTCAGGTATGTTTAAGGCACAGCAAGGAGGAAACCAGTGTGGCAGGAACAGGGGCACAAAGGACAAAGATGAAAGCCAGGAGGTCACTGAGATCTTGTCAGCCCAAGCAAGGACCTCAAGGTTTCCATTCTAAGTGAGCTGGGACATATTTGGTAATGGAGAGACCCATTCCTACTTGTGTATTAGAAGTCTATCCTGTAGAGAATGAAAAGACAAGCTACACACTAGGAGAAAGAGTTTGCAAACTACATATCTGATCAAATGCTGGTATTACAAATACATAAAGACCACTCAGATCTCAATGGTGAGAAAATAAACCGTCCAAGTCAAAAATGGGCAAAGAACTTGAACAGAAAGTTCACCCAAGAGGATGGCAGTGAAGCCCCTGAAATGCTACTCACTGTCATTAGCCATTAGGGAAATGCAAATAAAAGCCACGGGGAGAGACAATACACTCCTATTAGAATGGCTAAAGTAAAATAGACTGACAACAGCAAGTGCTGACAAGGACATGGAGCAACTCTCATGCATTGCTGGTGGAAATGTGGAATGGTGCAGCCATGCTGGGGAACAGTTTGGCCGTTTCTTAACAGAGTTAAACCTTTTCTTACCATAGGACCCAGCAACTCCACCCCTAGATATTTACCCTAGGAAAACAAAAGCTTAGGTTCAAACAAAAGCCTGTACATGGAATGGATGTTAATAGCAGTTCTGTTCATAACCATCAAAAACTGGGAATGACTCGCATGTCCTGCAGAAGGTGAATAGATGAACTGTGGTACATCCATACCATGCAACACTGCTCCGCAGTAAAAAGGAACAAACTATTGACTCTGCAACCACACGGATGAGTCTCAAAGGTGTCAGAGTGAGTGCTAGTGATACTGGAGTGGAGGATGTGGGGAGGCCCAGTAGCAGGCCTCAAGCTACCCTGTTCTCTGCCAGATGCTTGACTCTGCCACGGGAAAGAATTCAAGACAGAGTCAGAGGAGAAAGTGAAAACGGGTTTAATATAGAGAATGAGAAATACAGACTTCACAGGGAAAGTTCAGCCTGGCTCCAGAGACTGAGCAGCAGCTGTAGCAAGTTTAATACAAAAAGTAAGAAATACACACCTTACAGTGCTGACCGGCTCCGGGAGAGGGAGCAACTGCTCCACCTTCTTCCTGGATTTGGTATCTATAGTTTTTCTATCTATACATATTCATGATATCTAATGAATATTCAACGAAGGGGGTGGCTCCCAGTTACGTAACCTAGCCTTGCACATGTTCAGTTAGTCTCTTAGAGCATGCTTATTGGTCAAATTCTGCCACATGTACCAAATACACTTGGAATATTCTAGGTGCTGGGGCTGGCCAGTTAGCTCAGTTGGTTAGAGTGTGGTGCTAATAACACCAAGGTCAAGGGTTTGGATTCCTATACTGGCCAGCTGCTAAAAAAAAATATATATATATATATCCTAGGTGCTTAATAGCCCCTCCAGTGGGAAGTCATTTAAGGGGTAAACTCTTTTTTAGAAAAAAAAAAAAAAGAATATCCTAGGTGCTTAATAGCCCCTCCAGTGGGAAGTCATTTAAGGGGTAAACTCTTTTTTACTGAGCATGCTTGGCCATCGAGATTACATAAATGTGCCTCCTGTGGTCTCCATCTCTACATGTTGTTACTGAAAATAGGTGCTACAGGCCACAGTAGTTTAGAACTCAGGCCAGGCTTGAGTCCTAGGGTAGTGGTTTGAGACCAAGGGGAGTGGCCTGAAACCCGATTCCAGGGGGACTGAGCACCTCCTATCTCACAAAAAGCCACATTCCAAAGCTAACATACTGGATGATTTCGTTTATATGGGCAGTACAGAAAAGATAAAACTGTAGTGAGGGAGAACAGATCAGTGGGTGCCAGGAGTTGTGTGTATGTGTGTGGGGAGGAGGTTGATTACAAAGGGGCAGCTGGAGGGAACTGTTAGGAGTGATGGGACTGTTTTGTGTCCCAATTTTGGTAGTGATTGCATAAATCTATACATGCATTAAAATTCATAACACCAAACATAAATACCAAAAGCCAATTTTACTTTTACAAGAAATTTTTTTATATTGTAACAATAAGGAGGGGGCCTCCCGGTAGCTACCTGGTGGGAAATGGATTGTAGGAGGATAATGGTGGAAATGGAACTAGGGAAGAGACAAATAGGAAGAGCAAACAGTATAGTGAAGCGGGGGAGGAGGCCCTAAGCTGCAGGACTGGGGGCTGTGTTTGGACCACAGGACAGCTTGGGTCCTGCTGTGGGGGTCTAAGGAGGTCCATACCTTATCCTATGACCTTGAATCCTACAGTCCCCCCAGGCCCAGCACAGCCTCTGCCTTGGGGGCCCCCATCCTGCGGCTCCGTGCCTGTGCTCCGCGCCTTCGGGGTCACTGATGAGGGCGTCTCTATCTGCTGCCACATCCACGGCTTCTCTCCGTACTTCTACACCCCAGCGCCCCCTGGTGAGTGGCCACTGACCCAGGACACCCTGCTCCTGGCCACCTAGAGGCCTCCTGCACCTCTGACCGCCCTCCTACACCAGGTTTTGGGCCCGAGCACCTGGTGGAACTGCAGCGGGAACTGAACACAGCCATCAGCCGGGACCAGCGTGGAGGAAAAGAGCTCACAGGGCCAGCCGTGCTGGCCGTGGAGCTGTGCTCCCGCGAGAGTGAGTGCCGCTCCTGGGGACCAGTGGGTGGGGCCCCTGCAGGGCCGGTCCCAGACTCTTCTGTCCACAGGCATGTTCGGGTACCACGGGCACGGCCCCTCACCATTTCTGCGCATCACCCTGGCGCTGCCTCGCCTTGTGGCACCTGCCCGCCGCCTCTTGGAGCAGGGCATCCGTGTGGCGGGCCTGGGCACCCCCAGCTTCGCACTCTATGAGGCTAACGTGGACTTCGAGATCCGGTACAGCTCCTACCTCGCTTCTCCGACCTCTGCCCCCACCCCACCCCCAACAACCTTTGCCCACTGACCCTCAGTCCCCTCCAGGTTCATGGTGGACACAGATATCGTCGGGTGCAACTGGCTGGAACTCCCAGCTGGGAAATACCTCCTGAGGCCAAAGGAGAAGGTGCGGGGCTCTCCAAGGGCAGGGTCAGGGAGCTGGGACACTGCTGCGGCTGATTCACCCTGCCCCATAGGCTACCCTGTGTCAGCTGGAAGCAGACGTGCTGTGGTCAGACGTGGTCAGTCACCCACCAGAAGGGCAGTGGCAGCGCATTGCGCCCCTGCGCGTGCTCAGCTTCGACATCGAGTGTGCTGGCCGCAAAGGTCTGTCTCAGGATCTGGGCTCCTCCCCTTCCTCTGATCGTCTGTAACATGCCAGGCTCAGGCCAAGTGAGGTGTGGGGAGAGCATTCCTGCTAGAGGGAACAGCAAGTGCAAAAGCCCCGGGGCAGGATAGTTTCAGCCTGTGTGGCTAGAAGAGATTAATCCTGGGAGAGTGGGCCTGGAGATAAGGACAGAATGGTAACCGTGTGGATCGTGCAGTCTGCAGGCAGTGGGGTCAGAGAGATGTGAAAGGGCTGGGGCAGATCCAGAGATGCAACCACCCTAGTGTTTGTGATGGAGAAGCAGGAGTCAGGTCTCCTGCATCCTTATCCTCCCGCCCTCTGCAGGCATCTTCCCTGAGCCTGAGCGGGACCCCGTGATCCAGATCTGCTCGCTGGGCCTGCGCTGGGGTGAGCCGGAGCCCTTCCTGCGCTTGGCACTCACCCTGCGGCCCTGCGCCCCCATCTTGGGCGCCAAGGTGCAGAGCTACGAGCAGGAAGAGGAACTGCTCCAGGTGGCTCTTGTTCTGTTAACACCCCCCTCTCCCTGTCTCTACATCTCAGTCATCCCCTTCTGGACCCTGGATGCTGAGATGACCACATCCAAGGGTTTGGTTGGATCCCTGTGCATTGAGAGCTAAGTGTTTCCCCTCTGGTTCTGCGGTATATTCAGAAGCACCAGGGGGCCTCTGGGACAGTCTTGGGAGTAAGGGGATCTGAAATAGGGAAAAGACCAGGTGAGTCTGTGTCCTCCTACCCGCAGGCCTGGTCCACCTTTGTCCGCACCATGGACCCTGATGTGATCACCGGCTACAACATCCAGAACTTTGACCTCCCATACCTCATCTCTCGGGCCCAATTCCTGAAGGTGAGGGCAAGGCAGGTGGGGAGGCTTCCTCTCATGCCCCAACTGGTGGGGGGTGAGGGGACCTCAGGGCCCTCTGCCTCCTCTCTGCTCTGTCTCCATGTGGCTTTGTCCTGCTTGAGGCTGTCCATCTTGCTCTGTGTACCTGCAGTCTGTCACCTCCAGCAGCTCCATAAGTGTCCTGGGCCTGGCCCTGCCCTGCTTAAAGTTCAAAAATTTACTGTGGCTTTTGTCACAGGTGAAGTGGGCATTATGGTTAAGTTCAGAGTAGGCCTGTATATTTGGTGGGGCAGACTGAAGCATGCAGGAGTTCACCAAGCCATTGAACTAGCCATTGAATCTAGGCCTTTCTTTAGCATAAGTCAGCAAAGAGTAAGGAAGGTGGCAGGTGTTGTTGAAATATGTAGTAATACTTGTTGAATGTGGGTGTGAGTGTATAAGAGTGTATCAGTCCGCTCAAGCTGCTGTAACAAAGTACCACTGACCAGGTGGCTTAAAACAACAGAAATTGTCTCATGGTTCTGGAGGCTGAAATGTCCAAGATCAAGGTGTCAGCAGGGCTGGTTCCTTCTGAGAGCTGTAAGGGAAGGATCTGTTGTTCCAGGCCTCTTTGGCTTGCAGATGGCTGCCTTCTCCTTGTGTCTTTTTACATTATCTTTCCTCCCTGTGTGTCTTTGTGTCCAAAGTTCCCCTTTTTATAAGGACACAGTCACATTGGATTAGGGCCAACTCTAATGACCTCAACTTGATCGTCTGCAAAGACTCTTTATTTCCAAATGAGGTCACATTCTGAAGTGCTAAGGGTTAGGACTTCCGTGTCTTTGATGGGGGACCCAGTTCAGCTCCTAATGGGGTATGTTATGTTACTTACCTACTTTTCTGTATGTTTGGCCAGTTTGGTAATGAAAACATAAAACAAACTCTTATGGCCCCAACAGCTCCAGGGAGAAGTCCACCCCTCCCAGCCTGGCATTTGTACCCAGGTCACCGCTACCCTGCTCTCCCCTCAGTGCCCCTCACCCTCGGCTCCTGCCCCAGCTCAGGCCTCTCCTCTCCCTCCTAGTCCCTCAACCCAGCCTCAGCCTTTCCTCTAGTCTGCCCCCAACAGCCTGAAAGGACCTCTTCTCCACCTTCCTGCCCCCCAGTGCCCTCAGTCCACTGTCTCTAGCCTAGCTCCTCGGTCTGCCTCCTCCTCTGCTCCCATCTGGCCACCCCGGGCTCCATCCACTCACTGCATCCCCACTGAGCTCAGCATTGTTACCCAAATCTGCCCCTCCCTGTTTCCCATCTAGGTACAGGCTGCAGCCTCTGGGTACCATCCTTGCCCCCCACAGCTCATCAGGCCCCCGATTCTCCCTGTCCCAGCTCCAGCTGCAGCTTCTCCCCCTCCAGACTCCCTCACTAGCTTCTGCCCTCCCACTCCAGCCCCAGAGGGTCTTTCTGCACCCGGAGGTGCCCCTGCTCCCAGCCCCCAGTGTCGCATGTAGGGGCTGTTGTGGTTAGTTTCTGTGTCCGACATGACTTGGGACCCTTAGTATGGGCCAACCTGCCCCATACCGTAGCCTCACCCAGCCCAAGTAGCTGTCCCAACCCCCCACCACCAGGTACAGACATTCCCTTTCCTGGGCCGCGTGGTGGGCCTCCGCTCCAGCATCCGGGACTCATCGTTCCAGTCGAAGCAGATGGGCCGGCGGGACAGCAAGGTGGTCAGCATGGTGGGCCGTGTGCAGATGGATATGCTGCAGGTAGGTCCGGGCCAGGCGTGTCCCTGGCCTTGGGATGCTGCTGCCCCTGCTTGTGCCCAGCCTTCCCTCTCCCGTCCCAGGTGCTGCTGCGAGAGTACAAGCTGCGCTCCTACACTCTCAATGCCGTGAGCTTCCACTTCCTGGGTGAGCAGAAGGAGGATGTACAGCACAGCATCATCACAGACCTGCAGGTGCCACCCACCCCTGACCCTGCCTGGATCTAACCCCACCTGGCCTTGACCCCCACCACCTGCAGCCTCTGACCTCTGCCTCCTGCCTTCCCCGACCTCATACCTCCACCTCCTGCCCCAATCTCTGACCTCAGTCTCACACCCGTCCCCTACCTTGACCTCTCACCCACCCTCCCGACCTCCGCCTCTACCTTCCCCAATCTAACACCTCCACCTTTTACCTCAAGCTCTGATCTCACTCTCATCTACTTCTGTGATTTGTGACCTCAACCTGCTAGCCGCCTTTTTCTGACTCCAGATTTCTCCCTATTCCAGTGACCTTTGTCACTGTGACCTTTGTCGTGCTCTCCTTCCCTGACCCTGAGTCCACACTAGCCCTTCAGATTGCCCCATCTTCTTCCTGACCTTGTCGAATCCCTGACCTTCTCCCCACCTCAATCCCTACTAGACTCTTGCCTGCTCCTTGGCCATTCAGAAGCCACCTCTGCCCCATCTCACCTCCCTCCCCCTCCCCAGGCTGCCTTACCCTGACCCTGGAGCCCCAACCCCCACTTCCTCCCATGGGCCCACCTCCCACTCCTGATCCCTGACCCCATTGGTGCCTGTCCCCAGAACGGAAACGACCAGAGTCGCCGCCGCCTGGCTGTGTACTGCCTCAAGGATGCATTCCTGCCACTGCGGCTGCTTGAGCGACTCATGGTGTTGGTGAATGCCATGGAGATGGCACGTGTCACCGGTGTGCCCCTCAGCTACCTGCTCAGCCGTGGCCAGCAGGTCAAGGTCGTGTCCCAGCTGCTGCGGCAGGTCAGTGGGCCAAGCCCAGGGTGGCCGTCCACACCGCTTACCACTGAGGGGACCCACCAGGCACATCCCGCCCCTCTCCAGGCCATGATATCCTGGACTCGCTTTCTCCTCACTGTCTCTCTCTACCCCCTTTTCCAGTCTTCAGTGCCCACCCCTCCATTTCTGCCTTCTCCCCTCCCAGGCCATGCACGAGGGGCTGTTGATGCCCGTGGTGAAGTCGGAGGGTGGCGAAGACTACACAGGAGCCATTGTCATCGAGCCCCTTAAAGGGTGAGGCCCTGAGGCTGGGCTGGAGGTAGCACTAGGGCTCTGGCCCTGACTCTTCCCTGTGGCTCCTCCTCCGTAGGTACTATGACGTCCCCATTGCCACCCTGGACTTCTCCTCACTGTACCCATCCATCATGATGGCCCATAACCTGTGCTACACCACGCTTCTGCGGCCTGGGGCTGCCCAGAAACTGGGGTAAGAAGCCTTCATTCAGCACCTGTCCCCTGAGGCCAGCCTGGGCCTGACCTTCAGGGGTTTCCAGTCGGGCAGGGAAGATGGGCATAGGTCCAGGAATAGTAGGGAGGAAAGGGGAGACCCAAGAGGTAAGGCGAGCTTGAGGGGGCCTGAACATGCTCAGGGCCAAGGCCAGGACCAGTCTTCAATGCAGTCTTTAGGGCAGAGGTGGGGCTAGAAGTGAAGGAGAGAGCAGCCTGGTAGTCACCACCATCATCTCCCAACCCAGCCTGACCTCGGATCAGTTCATCAAAACGCCCACAGGGGATGAGTTTGTGAAGACATCAGTGCGGAAGGGGCTGCTACCCCAGATCCTGGAGAACCTGCTCAGCGCCCGGAAGAGGTGGACTCTTGAGCCCCCCTCCTACCCTTGCTCAGAGCTCAGACCTGCTAAGGCTTCTCGGCAATCCCTGTCCCTTGCTGGGTCACCCCAGTGCTTCCCAGCCCACTCACCTGCAGGTGTGTGTGATTTAGAACAAGGCGCCCCCACCAGGTAGCTCTCATTCACCTGCTTGGCCGGGTGCTTCTGTGCAGTGCACGGCAAGCCCAGCTGTGCACTAGCACCCCTTTCCAGAAAGGCGCCCTGACCAGTGTCCAGGCCTGGGCTCCTCCCTGGCCCTCTAGTTTCCCCCGAGACCTGGGGCACCATGTGAGAGGCCTTTACCCCCACCCCCTCCCAGGGCCAAGGCCGAACTGGCCAAGGAGACAGACCCTCTGCGACGGCAGGTCCTGGATGGGCGGCAGCTGGCGCTGAAGGTGAGCGCCAACTCCGTATATGGCTTCACCGGCGCCCAAGTGGGCAAGTTGCCATGCCTGGAGATCTCACAGGTGAGCGCTCAGGGCCCTGGAGGGCAGGCGGGAGGCAAATGGGCCCCCTCTGTAGGAGAACTAGGGTCTGTGTGGTGGAGCTGCGTCCAGGAGTCCAGGCCTAGTTGTCCTGATTCACTGGCCTTTCGGAGAGGGGATGCCAACATGGCTTGAGCAATTGGTTCATTCATTCATTCATTCAAAAGACACTTAATACATGCTATGGGCCAGGCCTTGCCCTATGCCCTAGGGATACAGAGGGTGACAAAGCGGATGACAGTTCCTGTCCTTATGTGGCTCACAGCCTAGTGGGGACACGAACAGTGACAACAGTAAGTGTGTTTAAGATGCAAGGGGCACCAAGGGCTCTGCAGACAGACAAAGTGGGGGTGGGGCAGAGAGCATTAAGACTGGGCAGGACAGACCACTCTGAGCAGGTGACACTTAAACAGAGGCCTAGAGATGTGAGGGGTTGCATGGTCACCGGACAGACCCCTTGCCATAGCAGTCTATGCCCCAGCCCACCTCCTCTGGTCCTGCAAGTGGGAGGAGGAAGGAGGACAGATTCCCACTGATGGGGGGAACAGCCTTGTCTCAGAGGTCTCAGAGACACCCAGCAGCATAGCCAGGCTCTGACGCTTGATTTGCTGTGTGTCCTTGGTTGAGTCACTTGACCTCAGTCACTGTTGGAGCACATGCTGGGGTCCTCCCTGCTGCCATGGGTGTGAGTGCCCCACTGAAGATGTTTGTTGGTCAATGCCGGGCCTGGGGAGGGAATGGGGGCAGAAAAGCCCACTGTCTCCCTCACCATCTGCAGCAGCATCCTGGGCCTGCTTACCTACAGCCGCTCTGCTGCTTGGACAGAAAAACAAAAGGTCTAAGATTCTGCCAAACTGGGAACAGTCCTCAGCTCCCAGCCTAATGCTTTAGAAGGGTCTTCCAGTCCAGTCCCTTTGCTGGGGTTTGGGTCTCAGCACATTCCAGACTAGTGATGGTGCACCTCTGCTTGGTTACCTCCAGGCATGGGGAGCTCCCTCCCTACCTGGACTGTGTCAGTCTTCACATGACTCTGGATGGAAGGTGTGGAGGAATTGCCAGTGGGTGGGCCTTCTGGTAGGAGTGGCCTGTGCATGCACCTACCCATCTGCAGTTCTGCGGTCCCCAAGACCACTCTCAGATTCAGTGATTCACTAGAAGTACTCAGAGAACTCAGAAAAGCTGTTATACTCACAGCTAGGGTTTAGTACAGCAAAAGGAGATAGATTAAAATCAGCAAAGGAAAGAGGTGCACCAGGCAGGCAGGGCTTCTGAGAGTCCAAACATGGAGATTCCGGTTATCCTCTCCCAGTGGAGTTGCACAGGCAACACTCATTTCTCCCGGCATTGATGTGTGACAGCACAGAATATCGCCAACCAGAGAAGCTCATCTGAGCTTTGGGGTCAGACTTTTTATTGGAGGTTGGTTTTGTAGGTATGGAACACCCATGTGACTGACCTTAGTTACTCAATTCTAGCCCCAGAGGTCAAGCCGATTCCTCATGGCCCAAGGCTGCCACCAAAAGCCATGTTAGCATAAACTACCTGGTGTGGCTTAAGGTCTCAGGTAAACAGAGGCACTCTTATCAGACAGGACATTCTTAGAGGTCTCCAACACCCCTTAGTCCCCGTCCCAGGAGCAAGGCAAGAGCCAGACCTTTCTTTGGACAGGGTGAATTCTTTACTGCATGCCACCTCTGCTCCCCTCTTTGGCCTTTCATAGTCCCCAGGTGCCTCTCTACCCTCCTTGGTAGAAAGGGGTGGATATTAGGCTCCAGCCCCTAAGCAGAGCCAGGCTAGGAGAGTGCAGCTTTGCCTTCTGGGGCTGCTGCTTGCTAACCCTTTCTCTCCATCTTTTCTCTCTTAGCCCCTTCCCTCTGTCTTTGTTCTGTCTCTGTCTCTTGGCCTCTTATTTCTGTCTCTCAGGCTTATGGGGGCAGGGGGATAGAATAATAAACAAGTTCTGAATCATTCCAGAAAAGATAAGAAAGGAAAACAAAAAGAACATAGAACAGGTGGAACAAGTAGGATGCATATAGTAAAGTGGCAGATTTAAGCTCAAATAGTCTATCATGACACTAAATGTAAATTAACTGAATGCTTTAGTTAAAAGACAAAGATTGGGCCCTGGCTGGTTTGCTTAACTGATTGTAGCATGGTATCAGTAACACCAAGGTCAAGGGTTCGGATCCCCCTATTGGCCAGCTGCCCTTTGCCAAAAAAAAAACCCCAAAAATCCAGACTGGATCCACAGAATCACACCCAACTCCCTTGGTGTCCCTGCCCCCTAGCCTCAGTTTCTTTATCTGTGAAAAGAGACAGTTGGAAAGAAATGGTTTCTCAATGGGGGTGGTACTACTCCCTACCCTGGGGGCATTTGTCATGTGTCACTAGGGTCATTTCTATTTGCGCAGGGATGGAGGTGGCACTGCTGGCTTTCAGCAAGGGGGCAAGGAATGTCAGTGAGAGCTGCCCAGGTCATCACAGTGTCAGAGAAACACTGAACCAATGGCCTCTTCCTTTTTTCTTAAAAAAAGATGACCGGTAAGGGGATCTTAACCCTTGACTTGGTGTTGTCAGCACCACGCTCTCCCAAGTGAGCTAACCGGCCGTCCCTATATGGGATCCGAACCCGTGGCCTTGGTGTTATCAACACCGCACTCTCCCGAGTGAGCCACGGGCCGGCCCTTCAATGGCCTCTTCTGATGTAGTCAGTTCTTCCTTCATGCCTGGAGCTCTAGTCCAGGGAACCCACTTCTTTTCATCAAGCCATTGAGGGGCAGCCTAGTAGCAACGTTCTGCATATTTGGAAGCTGAGGCCCAGGAGGGTGGAGTGGCTGGCCCAAGCCCACACCACCTGGAAGTGGTGGAGGCGGGAACCTCCTAGCTCACGTCCACTGCAGGTGGCCCCTGGGCCTTTATTCTGCTCTATTCTCCACCCCACAGAGTGTCACTGGGTTTGGGCGTCAGATGATTGAGAAAACCAAGCAACTGGTCGAGTCCAAGTACACAGTGGAGAACGGCTATGGTGCCAATGCCAAGGTCAGGGGCTATCCCACTGTTAGCCCTAAGGTGGGCCCAGAGCAGGTGGGGGTGATTGCAGGGAAGCTGGGCCCATATGTCCCCGCACCTCCCAGTCACCTGGTCACATTCTGCCTGTTCTCCCATGGTAGCAAATCCCTCCCACCCCCCTGCTCCCTACCCACCCCCATTGGCAGAAGGGGACTTCCCTCACACACTCCTTCCCCAGGTGGTGTATGGTGACACTGACTCTGTCATGTGCCAATTCGGTGTCTCCTCTGTGGCTGAGGCAATGGCTCTGGGGCAGGAGGCTGCAGACTGGGTATCAGGTCACTTCCCACCGCCTATCCGGCTCGAGTTTGAGAAGGTATATGGGGTCCCCCCCTTTATACTCAGGGCTCAGAGTGGAAACAAGTGTGGGTCTTGCCAGTTGAGGGGGTCTCTGTTTCTCGGGTGCCTGCAAAGCTTGAGAATGCAGTAGTTTGGGGGTTACCTCATGTCCGGATTTGGGAGATCCTGATGTTCAGGGTCTCTCCGTTTTGGGGTGCCCTGATTGGGGTACTCTGGACATCCCATTCTTCAGGTTCATAAGTCCCAGTGTCAAGTTATTTTGTGGCATGAATTTGGGGCCTTGGTTTTGGAAACCTACAAAGACTTGGGCTTTGTAACACAGGACATCATCCTGTGGGATTTTGTAAACCCTGCCACAGTGTCTCTGGTTTGGGGGTTTCCCAGTACCTATCAGGTGTGGGAGCATCCCTCAGTGGTGGGGACCCTGATGGGGATCTTGGATATGTGCACCATCGTCCAATGTCCCCCAGCTCCTAGGGTGCATTGGGCTTGGCTCCAGAAAACCTCACACTATATTCATTCTCCATAGTTCTAACATGCACCTCTGGGTGTACCAACTTGGAGTCTTCTGATTTGAGGAAGTCTCTTCCTCAGGGCTCACCCCTGGATCTTAATCTTTTCTCTCTCAGGGGCTGCCTCATTGTATCCCCCTGTCTAGATCTCATATTTTAGGGGGGCATCTCTTGGTTTATTCCACTCTGTTTTAGATTGGGGTCCCTGGCATGCTGAGGGTGCTCAAGAGCCATTTGGGGTTCTAGAGTTCATTCTGCTACTTTAGGGTGTAGCTCCCCAAGTGTCTGATCTTGTTTCTCAGCGACCATCCCTGTGTGTCCTCAGTGTCTTGGTGGGGAGTCCCAGGACTGGGGACTGGCCCCCAGTCTCAAAGGTCTCACCCATGGGTTTCTCCCAGGTCTACTTCCCCTACCTGCTCATCAGCAAGAAGCGCTATGCAGGCCTGCTCTTCTCCTCCCGGTCAGACACCCACGACCGCATGGACTGCAAGGGCCTGGAGGCTGTGCGCAGGGACAACTGCCCCCTCGTGGCCAACCTAGTCACCGCCTCACTGCGCCGCCTGCTCATTGACCGGTGTGTGGACCCTCCATCCAGACCTGGAGTCCAGGCCCCCAGCCCCCTCCTCCCTCAGACCTAGGAGCCCAGCCCCAGCCCCTCCTTCTTCAAGCCCAGGAGTCCCGGCCCCCAGCCCCACCTCCCCTGGGGACACAGGTGTCAAGCCCAGCTCCTCAGTGGTGAAGCAGTGGAAAGAGTTGGGTTGGACAGCTGTGGGTTCAGGCCCCTCCTCTGCCACTTTGCAGCCTGTGGCCAGGCAGGGCCCCTCCTTTCCCTGGGCCTCAACCCACAAATCCCCTCCTAGTCCCCCAGCCCTCAGGTGCCAGCCTGGCTTTCAGTGGCTACTGGTGATGCCTGCCTGTTTGGCCCACCCTCCCTACAGAGACCCCAAGGGTGCCGTGGCCCACGCACAGGAGGTCATCTCAGACCTGCTGTGCAACCGCATTGACATCTCCCAGCTGGTCATCACCAAGGAGCTGACCCGTGCGGCCGCTGACTACGCCGGCAAGCAGGCCCATGTGGAGCTGGCCGAGAGGTCCGCCAGGCAGGAGGCGGGGGCCATCCAGAAATAGCCCCCTCCTGCCAGCTGTGCCCACCACTTCCTGCACCCCCCATCCTGCCACCCCACCTGACCTCACCCACCCACCACCTCGGTCTCCCCGCAGGATGAGGAAGCGGGACCCTGGGAGTGCACCCAGCCTGGGTGACCGCGTCCCCTACGTGATCATCGGCGCCGCCAAGGGCGTGGCTGCCTACATGAAGTCCGAGGTCAGGCCCACCTGGGCTGCCCACGTCCGCCGGGCTCTCCTCTGCTTTCACTTCTGCTTTCCAGGATGGGCGGGCCAGCGGGGAGGGGTGTGTCCCTGCGCGGGCCCCATGGGGTTCTGACGCCCCTGGGAGTCAGCTCCAAGAGCCTTTCTTCCATCCTTCCCTATCCCCTATTATCCTGACCCCTCTCCTGCTCCCTCTTATAGAAAGGGGGCCCCAGACTCTCCTCCTGTACACAGAGCATCTCCGTCTCCATCTCTGTTTCTGTGTGTCTGTTTTCATTTCTGTCTCTCCCTGATCTCTGCTCTGCAGCTTCTAATTCCCTTGGATTCATGTCCTCCCCCATGCTACCCAGATGTTGGGATCTCTGTTTCTGTGTGTCTGTTTTCATTTCTGTCTCTCCCTGATCCCTGCTCTGCAGCTTCTAATTCCCTTGGATTCATGTCCTCCCCCATGCTACCCAGATGTTGGGTGACCTCTGACCTCCATGACCTTTCCTTATCCTCACTTCCTCACATGAATTCTGACCCTTCCTTTGTTCTGGGGACCCCTACCTGTGGCCTCCCAATATGGGACACAGAGCCTGTGGCCCAGCGACTCCCCATGACCTCTGACCCCATTTCAGACCCATATCCCCCTCCCCCGCCATGCCACAGTCTCTAGGGCAGCACCCATGCCTGGTGGCTGCACCACACCGTTGCTTCCTCCATTTATAGCTAAAGGACCTCAGTGGCTCCGGTGCCCTTACATGATGCATGACTACGTCATCCCTGTCCCCTCCCCCATGTGACCTTGCTGACCCCCCCTGCTGCAGGACCCCCTCTTTGTGCTGGAGCACAGCCTGCCCATTGACACACAGTACTACCTGGAGCAGCAGCTTGCCAAGCCGCTCCTGCGCATCTTCGAGCCCATCCTGGGCGAGGGCCGCGCTGAAGCCGTGCTGCTGCGTATGAGGGGCGCCCAAGTTGGTGGGGGTACCTGGGGGCAGGGGAGGGCACCACACTCACCACCTGCCCTTTCCTCCTACAGGGGGGGACCACACACGCTGCAAGACAGTGCTCACAGGCAAGGTGGGTGGCCTCCTGGCCTTCGCCAAACGCCGCAACTGCTGCATCGGCTGCCGCACTGTGCTCAACCACCAGGGTGAGCACCACCCTGGCTGTGCCAGCCCTCAGCCCACCTCCATCATTGCCCTCCTAGACACCTACCCCCCAGGCTGGCACTGCTGCCCAGCAGGCCCTGGGACTGGGTGGGGGGGCTCCCCTCTGCCTGCTCCCCAACGGGAGGGTCCCCAGCCCCCCGCCCCGGGAGTTCCCCAGGGGAGTTTTCCCTACACACTCACTCCCTTGTTCTCTAGCCTCCAGGGGACTTTCAGAAGCTGGGATGGGCAGCGGGCAGGGAAGGGGCAAGGATAGGGTGGCCCAGGCCAGCAGGTCCTGTTCTGACCTGCCTCCCCCACAACACCCAGGAGCTGTGTGTGAGTTCTGCCAGCCCCGGGAGTCAGAGCTATATCAGAAGGAGGTAAGGGATCAGGGGAAGCCAGAAGGGGGTGGTTTCTGGGGGGCCAGGGCCACCCTTCTCAGCTCCTGCCATCCCCAGGTGTCCCACCTGAATGCCCTGGAGGAGCGCTTTTCACGCCTCTGGACCCAGTGCCAACGCTGTCAGGGCAGCCTGCACGAGGACGTCATCTGCACCAGGTGTGCATCTCCTGGGCCCCACCATGCCCACCTGGCCTGCTCAGCCCCCTCCCAGCTCCCAAGACCTGTGCATTGTGGACCAAACTCCCGACCAGGATCTCTCGACCCAAGCACCCCTCCCTACATCCCCTTCTGGCAGTGAGGTCTCAGGAGCCTGTGTTCCCGTCTGCAACATGGGCCAGTGCCCTTCAGCCCCCAGGAGGTTGTGGGTGCTCAGAGAACCAGGGCCAGTCACCCAGTGTCTGCCTGGGAGATGGCTGCCCTCTGGACACACACCTGTTGCCATCCTGGCCCCCTCTCCCAGGGCGGGGCTGGGCTTTCCCCAGGGAACAGGTGGGCAGGGCAGGTTCCCAGGCCAGGTGACAGGTGATATACAGCCTGTGGCCCAGCACTTCGGCGGACACCCGCTGTTATCTGCTCCCCCTGTGCCTGCTGAGCAAACAGGAGGGAGGGGATGGGGAGCAGGTGGGAGTCAAAGTCCTGGGAATGGCCCCTGCCCCAGGGACAGGTGCTTGCAGCCCCCCACGCCATCCCCAGGTTGGGCACCAGTCCTCTGGTCCACGGGCAGGGGCACCCTTTGCCCACTCTGCCCTGACCCCACCTGCCCGCCTACAGCCGAGACTGCCCCATCTTCTACATGCGCAAGAAGGTTCGGAAGGACTTGGAGGACCAGGAGCAGCTTCTGCGACGCTTTGGTCCCCCTGGCCCTGAAGTCTGGTGACCTCGGTGGCACTGACAAGGATGGGGGTGGGGAGGAGATTGGTGAGAATTAATAAAGTTCAGGCCTTTTGCTACCTGCTGTTTGGTCTTGGGGGGTTTGGGAGGGACAAGGTTCAATATCATAAGCCCTGGTGCCAGGCCCCGGACCTCACTGAGGCCTCCGGCCTCCACTGGACCTGCTCACCTTGGTGTAAGATCCCTGGGCTTTTGCTTCTGCTGCGGCCCCACACAGGCCAGACGTGCCTCAGTTTCCCCTCGGACCCTGCCCTATGGACCTGAGTGAACATTTCTCCACAAGCTCTCCCCTGTCCCTGCTCGGCACCAGGTGTCCAGCTTCAGCCCACCCCTCCCTGGGGACCGGTCCTGGGGTCCCTGGTGGCTGCCCCACCCTCCAGGTGCTGACCTGTTTCCTCCAGCCCCTGGGGCAGCCCCTGGCATGGAGGCTTCCACTCTACGGCACAACCGAGGGGCCCCCCCGCTGTGTCGCACACCCACGGATGTTTCCATTCAGGGTCCTGATGATCGGTTTTGGGTATGGGTTCCCCCCCCCCAATGTTCACTTATGAGACCCCCTGGCAATCCCCATATCTGTCCCCACAGCCCCCCACTGCCTTCAGACACCATCAGTGCTCCAGAGTCACCTCCATCTCATACCCCCCTCAGGGACGTGAATCCTGTTGGCGCCCTCCCACCCCCCTCCCCCACCAGCTCCCAGCCTCCCACTCCCCTTTGCTCCTGCTGAAATTTGGCTCCTGGGTCCAGGTCTCCCTCCCCCCATATCCTGATTCCCCCTTCATGGACCACAGTGACCCCCTGATTCTTCCTTTACTTTTTCAGGTCCCCCCAAATCCAGCTTCTCACATCTTTGCCCCTCAGGGTCACACCGCCATCCTCACCCCCAACTATGGGGATCCCCAAATCCAGATGGTTCCTAGGCCCACCCTCCCTGCCACGTGACCAAGGGGTTGTGCAATCCAGCCCCCTCCCCTGACCTCCCCAAGGGGATTTTCGAGGAGGGCCAAGCTCACAGGCCGGCACCCCCGCCCCCCACACCCCGGGGCTGGGCCAAGGTATAAATAGGGGTGGTGGTTGCAGCCGGGCGGCAAGCCCAGCCTATCCCAGCACCACCATGCTCACTCTACAAGCCCAGCTTATCCCAGCACCACCATGCTCACTCTGGAGGCTGCACAGTAAGTGGGGTCCCCCTAAACTTGCACTTGGGACCTTCACCGCATGCTACCCCTCTGCCGGGCCTCACCCACGGGCAGTGGTCTCCTCTGCTCCACCCAGGGGCAGGTGCGTGGGAGGGGAAGGGCCCACACCATCTCTTGCCCCTTCTGATTCTTCTATATCTCAGACTCTTTCCTCCATCCCCCGCACCCCTGTTGTCTTTCCTGGTCCCCAAAGATCTCATTTTTTTGCGACACTTTCTTCTCTCCCATCCTGCTGATGTCCTCTGCATATGGGTCTCCACCTCTGTTCCTCTCCTTCCCTACATCTCTGTCTCTGTCCCTCCCTGGGTCTTGCTACATCTGTCGCTCCCCCTGTCTGCTTCTCACTCTGTTTCTTTTTTTGTTTCTGGGTCTCCGTTCTGTGCCTCTTGCTCTCTCCTTGGCTCTGTCTTCGTCTCTGTATCTTTCACCCTCTTTCCGATTCTCTCCGTCCATCTGTTCTCTCTCTCTTCTTCTGTCTACCTCCCCATCTCTGTATCCCTGAGGCTCAAGAAATAATTCCTGCATCAGAGTGTGAATGTCTCTTTCCACACTTTCCTCTTTTCCCACCTCTCCTCGTGCCCCTCATCTGGGTCTCTTCTGTTTCCCCATCTCTGCCCACACATCTCTCCATCTCTCTCTGGTCCAAGGTGGACCCATTTAACCAATTCACCAGCCAAGGCCCCACTGGCCCCGGCCCCCTCCCTACCCCCACCTCTTCTCCCTGGGGACTTTCTCCCTCACTTTCCCTGCCCCCCCTCTATGCAAATCCCAAGGGGGGGGACATTTGCCTGGCTCCCACCCCCCACTTCCTGTCCCGGTAGGGGAGTGGGGGTGGATGTGGTGGGCCTGGTCTCACACAGGGACACCCAGCAGGCTGCAGAGCTGCGGTGGTCACAGCTGTTGCTGTCTCCCTCCCCCCAGCCCCCGTCAGTCCCCCAATCACTTTGAGACTCAGATGGCTGAAGGAAGCCCTGACATGCCCCTGTGTCTCTCCCCCTCTAGGCTCGACGGGCCATACTTCAGCTGTCTGGTGAGTTGGGGCCCTGGGGGCCGGGGAGGGGCGGGGGAAGCCACGTGGCCTACCATGACTTCCCTCAGAGAAGTGGCTTGCTCCCTGCCTCAGTTTCTCCTTCCGCCCCCTGCCATCAGTTTGTCTTTCTGAACTCTCCCTTGGTATCTCCTGCTACTCCGCATCCCCGTCACGGATCTGTTTCTGATGTCTCGCCCTCTCTGAGACTCTGAGTCCACTTTCTTTGATTTTGTGTACCTCTCTCTGTCCATCCCTCATTCAGCAAGTGCATTTATTCCCTCTTTCCTTTTCTCCTTTTTTTTATATTAAAAAAAATTTTTTATTCTGTAATATTTCTGACACACAGATTACTATACCTAACACCCTGACCCCATGACCCAATCTGAGAAATAGAATCTCACTGATGTGGTTGAAAAAAACCCTGCTTGTACCCCTTCCCCATCACATCCTGACCTAGAGTTTTGTTCGGTTTTTGAAGTACTAAGGTGCGACTTACAAGTCAGTAAAGTGACGAATCTTGTGCACACCTCAGTGAGCTTTTGTATTATACACACACCTGTGTAGCCGCCAACCAGATCAAGATGGAGAACATTTCCACTGCTCCGGAGTATTTCCTCCTGTCCCTTCCCAGTCAGTACCCCTGTCTGATATTTTCCACCATCGATTAGTTTTGCCTGTTCTTGAACTTTACATAAAGTGAATTATGCAGCATGTCCCTTTGGGGGCCTGGCTTCCTTCACTCATCATGAAGTGTGTGTCTCGTGTCTGTTCTTTTTCCTTGCTATGTAGTAGTCCACCGTCAGACTGCTCCATGGTTTGTTCACCCATGCTCCTGTTGAAGGACCCCTGGGCTGGTTCCAGTTTGGAGCTATTAATAAAGCTGCTCTGATTATTCTTGAACAAGGCTATTTTGTGGACACACGTTTTCAGTTTTTTTTTTTTAAAGATGACCGGTAAGGGGATCTTAACCCTTGGCTTGGTGTTGTCAGCACCACGCCCACCCAGTGAGCAACCGGCCATCCCTATATAGGATCCGAACCCATGGCCTTAGTGTTATCAGCACCGCACTCTCCCGAGTGAGCCACGGGCCGGCCCACGTTTTCAGTTCTCTTGGGTAAATCCTAGGAGTGAGATTGCTGGGTCGTAGGGATGGTGTATCTAGCAACACATGAGTCTGGGGACAAATCAAAGCAATATGGAGGTGGATTAAAGAAGAGTTGAGACCCTGCCTGTGTAAAAACACTCCCACCTCCTCTCACCCCTCACCTCCCTCCACCACCCCACCAGGCAGGCGAAGCTGGAGACATCCTTCATACCTTCCCAGGCGCTATGTTTTTATTTTTGCTTTTTTCTTATTTTTACATTCCCCAGGTGCTATGATGGGCCAGTGGTACACCAGGAAAGTGCTAGGGTTCTCAGGAACCCCCAATCTTAGCAGGAGCTGGCTTCTGTGTGTCTCTCTTGCATTGTGTCTGTCTCTACTTGCTGTATCTCTGTACGTCTCTCTCTTTGCCACTGTCTCTGGTGCCTAGTCTCTGTGTCTCTCTGTGTGGATGTCTCTCAGTTTCTGTTTCTGTTCTCTCCAGACTCTCCTCTTTTCTCCCATTTGTGCCAGAGTTTCCACAAGGGTCCAGGGTGGGGGCAGTGGCTCTCTGAAGCCTAAAATAACCCCCTCCCCTCCCCGAACCTGTTAGTATCCAGATGGCGTCTTCTATGACCTGGACAGCTGTAAGCACTCCAGCTACCCCAACTCGACCTGGACAGCTGTAAGCACTCCAGCTACCCCAACTCAGAGGGGGCTCCTGGTGAGTCCACCCCCAAACCTGGGCTTTGGGCAAATTTCACAGATGTGGGAGCTGAGGCCCCGGGGAGTTTATCACCTAGCACAGCAAGATAAGGGTAGCCCAGGCCTCCAGACCTCCTCCCTTTTCCTCTCCCACCCATCTGTTCCCCCATGCAAATCTTGGGGTCAGAGATTTGCACAGCCCACAATGGCCCCTCTGTGCTAGGGCCTTCTAGTGGGAGGGGGTCTCAATCAGACTTCCCAGCTTCTAACTCAGTGCCCTTCTTCTAGACTCCCTGTGGGATTATCCCTGTGGGAGTCTCCCTGTGGATCTGGCACCTGTCCCAACTGCCCCCTATGAAGCTTTCGACCCAGCCGCAGCCACCTTTGGCCACCCCCAGGCTGTGCAGCTCTGCTATGGACCCTCAACCTACAGCCCTGCAGGGAGCCTCAACCCAGCCCCCAGCCTGGAGGCCCCAGGGCCCGGCCTCCCAGCGTATCCCACAGAGGACTTCACCAGCCAGGTGAGGGGCAGGGTAGATAGCTGAAGTCAATCCCAATCATTTGGTTGAGGTTTACTAGGTGCCAGGCACTGCGTTAAAACCTGTGCACATAGTAACCGTTTTTATCCCTTTAGCAACCCTCTGAGGTGAAGCAGCATTATTACTCCATTGCACAAATAAGCCGACAGAGGCACAGACACAAACCAAGAGACAGCACAGACTTGTGTTATCTGTGTTGGACAGGCTCCAACGAAGGTAGTTTAGGTGTTCCCTGGCCACGACATGGAGATCTGAACCAAGGCCAGAGTCCACATTGTGAACAAAGACGGAGACCAGAATGGGAGGGCTGCAGCAGGGGTCTGAGAGGAGAAAGTGGAGGGAGTGCAGAGGGAGGGAGAGGGGACCCTGGATGTGTAGGTGACCCTGACCTTCCGCAGACTCTGGGCCCTCCAGCATATGCCCCATACTCCAGCCCTGTGCTGTCGGAGGAGGAAGATTTACTGCTGGACAGTCCCGCCCTGGAGGTCTCAGACAGCGAGTCAGATGAGGCCCTCGTGACTGGCCCTGAGGGGAGGGGATCTGAGGCAGGTATGTGGGAGTGGATGGGATGTGGGGACTCCAACTGGAGATGGGGGTAAGCAGCTAAAAGAAACATGGCTTCTCAAGCACTACTATGTACTCCAGCACTGAAGGCGGTTCCCAGATCCATGCCACCTCTGGCAGTGTGATCTTGGGCAAATGCCTCTACCTCTGTGTGCCTCAGTTTCCTGTCTGTATAACGGGGTTGTCAGTGGTTAGAGTACAGTGTTACAACACCAAGGTCAAAGGGTTCAGATTCTGTACCAGCCAGCCACCAAGAAAACCCCCCAAAACCCAACTATTCAACCCCTGCTTATGCCCTTGTGCCCAACGTCCGTTTTGCTCAACCCCTGGAAAGTTGAGGTCATTAGATACTTTCCCTATCTGGGCCTTGGTTTCCCATCTGTAGAATCGGCATCATGGTCATTATCCCTATCTCATAGGGTTATGATGGAGACTAAATGAGCTCATAATTGTGAAGCGCCTACCAAAGCAAATGCCCCATAAAGGTTTGAAAACACACACACACACACACACACACACACACACACACACGCGCGCGCGCGCGTGCACACACACACGCCTTGTTTATGGCTGAGGAGACCATCAGAGAGGTTAAGTCACCATCCAAATGCGCGCGCGCACACACACACACGCCTTGTTTATGGCTGAGGAGACCATCAGAGAGGTTAAGTCACCATCCAAAGGTCACACAACTGGGAAATAGCAGAGGTGGGATTCTTGTATCCAACGACCTGCATTTTTTGGAGGCGGGGGAGGCAGGCCAGTACAAGGATAGAGCCCTGGACCTTGGTATCAGCCCCATACTCTAACCGACTGAGTAAACAGTCAGCCCCTTAATGCCCTGCTTTGAAACCCCTAGTTCTGTAGGGTCCCTTGCTGCTTGTAGGAGCCCAGGAGTCAGATGTCTCTCTGGCCTCTCCCAGGACCCCATCCCGTCTGGGGCTGAGAGGCTAGGAGACCGGGAGCTGGAGAAATGGCCAGGTGGATTCAAACCGACTCCAGATCTATTCACCGCCACCCTTGGAGGAATACTGTCACGATTTCACAGATTCTTTCGTCATGGGCTCAACAAATATGTATTCCTACTATGTGCTGGCTGCAGAAGAGAAAATAGGACAAACGCAAATCTTGAAAATTAAAGCACGCAAGGGGGATGCGAGTTCTGGGGCTAACAGCTTTACGGAGGGGAACTGACTTGCCCCTGGTGAGACAAGCCAGAGTCGGGTGTATCCGGCAGCCACCTCCTTCCCCTCACTTCTCTGGACCGGGAGATTGAGGCTGGGGTGCGAGTGGCGTGGGCGTGCGGGCGGAGCCTAAGGGACGCCTCCCCTGACGCGTGCTCCTCTCCCGCCGCAGGGGCCCGCAAGAAGCTGCGCCTGTACCAGTTCCTGCTGGGGCTGCTGACGCGCGGTGACATGCGCGAGTGCGTGTGGTGGGTGGAGCCGGGGGCCGGCGTCTTCCAGTTCTCCTCCAAGCACAAGGAGCTCCTCGCGCGCCGCTGGGGCCAGCAGAAGGGCAACCGCAAGCGCATGACCTACCAGAAGCTGGCGCGTGCTCTGCGCAACTACGCCAAGACCGGCGAGATCCGCAAGGTCAAGCGCAAGCTCACCTACCAGTTCGACAGCGCGCTGTTGCTCGCCGCTCGCCGGGCTTGAGCCCTCCTAGGTTCTCGGGGCGCTCAGGGATGCGTGCCCTGCCTGGGCAGGCCCGGGAACCCCACACCTCGTGTGGAGCTGCTTAAGGACTTCGTGGCCCCGCCAGGACCCCTCTGTGGTCCCCGTGTCACGTTGGCGTCCCTACACCTTAGGTCATAGGGACCCATAGATCCCCACATTTGGGGGGAGGGGTGCTGACATAATCCCTAAGCCCTACTCAGGGTCCCTCTGGGATTCCTTTATCATGAACAGGATCTCCAGGGATCTGCATGTTTGGGTCACAGAACCCACAGACAACTATACTGTGTGTGTATGGAGGAAGGGGGGTTGGGAGCCGACGGTGCTTCCAGAATCCCGAGAGCTTCTCTGAGATCTCTCTGTGACATCTGAGATCTCCCAGCCAGGTCTGGGACCTCTCTGAGCTCCCTTGTGTGTCTGTGAATCTTCAATCTCATGGGGACGGGGCAGGGAGCCCACAGATCATCACACCAGGAGGCGGCACTGCCAGCAGCCTTAAGCCTTGTTTGGGGAGTCCCTCTGGGATCTTTTTCTCATGTCTGTGTCCCTCTTGTGGGATCTGAAACCTCCAAGTTATGTCTTGGGCGCTCTGGGAAACTTTTATCAAGTTTCAGGTCTCTGTGCCCATCTACTACTCTCTTGTCACATCTGTCCCCCCAAATTTCTTTGAGAGCCCCTAATTCTCTGGAACTACTTTGCTGTCACTTTTCTTGTGTCTGGAATTCTCCAGTCACATCTATGGCCCCTCTGGGATCTTTCTGTCATGTCTGGGCCCCCTCTGGGATACCCTTGTCATATCTAGGATCCTTCAATCATATGAGGCCCTCCTAGGTCCCCCATCTGATATGCCCCCTTAGGGATCTCACAAGCAGCCTTGAGTTCTTCTGGGGACTCTGCCCTTCCTGGGGTACTCTCCGTGTGGCCACACTGAGGATCATTCTGGCCACTCAACTGATTTCTGGATGATCTTGGCAGCCCTCCTCCATGTCATTTCTTTTTTTCTTTTTCTTTTTTTTAAAAGATGACCGGTAAGGGGATCTCAACCCTTGGCTTCGTGTTGTCAGCACCACGCTCAGCCAGTGAGCGAACCGGCCATCCCTATATGGGATCCGAACCCGGGGCCTTGGTGTTATCAGCACCACACTCTACCGAGTGAGCCACGGGCCGGCCCCCCCATGTCATTTCTAACTAGAGGTCTCAAGCTGGTCAACTCACCACCCCAGAACCAGGCAAACCAGGACCCTGGTGGTGTTTTCTTTTTAGTTTACAGCACTGTTTTGGGAGGGAATCTGAATTACCAGCCAACCTTTCAAAATAGGGAGATTTGCAGATTTCTGGCTTCGCTTAAAACTTTGAACAATCCAGCGACAGTGGGTCAGCTTTTCAGTATGGAGAGGCTGGAGCAGGACAGTGGCCCCCTCCTAACAGGGCATTTGTTCTCCAATCTGCCCCAGTCCCTGCCAACCCCAGCTGTTTTAACTCCAGCAGCTTCAATCATCAGCCTGTTTGACCCCCAACTATTTGCATTTCAATTCCTGTGTAAACCCAGCTGGAGCTGAAGCCTGGATGAACTGTGGGAGCCCTGACTGAGACCCCGGGGGAATCACAGGCTGTGGGCCAAAAAGCTGGAGGTTCAAGTCCTTGAGCCTGGGTGGGCTGGGGATCTAGGGTGAATGACTTGTTGTTGCCTGGTCTCAGTTTGTCACTTCTGTGAAAAGAGGAGAGGAGGAGGAACATCTCAAAAAAGCCCTTGCAGCCCTGTTGAGCCTTTCACACACCTTCTGAAATCCACCCCAGCCCCACTGATGGCCTGGAGGAGGAGTAGGAGGAGCATCAAGGACTCAGAGAGGCAAGAGGTCCACGTGGGGACATACAACGGCTGGTGGACTGGGACCTGCCCTTATGAGAAGGTGGGGGCAGGGGGGGAAGGCAGGAAGAGGTTGCAAAATGTCCTCCCCAGGGCCTCCTCCTACAAAGAAGGTACTTTCTGCAAAAGCTATTATCGTCACCCTAAATGTGGAATAAAATAAATAAAATAAGAGAAATCAAGGTGGACAAACCTCCTGGGACCCTTTGTCAGAGACTGCAATCCTGCCCCTCCATTGGGGCCCACTGGCTCTCAGAGACACAGCGACAGCGAGGGGGGAGATGAGATAGGAGATCAAATAGGCAGTCTTGACTGACCTTTAATGCCAAAATAAGAGGCTTGAGATGCTGGCACTGGGAGTTCCGTTTCATTTTTATGTCTTCCTCACTTCCTGCCAATTAGAGTTCTTCCCCACCTCGTCCCCGCTTCCTCTTCTGTCTGGATCTCTATCCCCATTCTCTGAGTCTCTGTCCGCCTGTCTCTGGATGGAGCCCCTGGCAACCCGTGACGTCACAGGAAGGTTGCAGCCGGGTTGGCTTGGCGCTCCCTGCAGGGGGCGAAGTTTCCGGCTCATAGGGGGTTTTGGAAAAGGGGGGACGGGGAGATGCGCAGGAAGAAAACGGGGGGAGCTCGTCTTCTCTCTCGCTGGGTCACTCCCTCTACGTCCCCTACACCCCCTCCCCCACTTTCACGCCCACCTCCCGCCCTTCCCAGCACCTGGCCCCCCAGTCCCCTCCTTCCCCCAGAGCCTCTCCGCCCACCCGGCGTCCGGCCACCAGCCCCATTCACCGTTTTTTTTTTTTTTGGCGTCCGGCCGGTTCCGGGATCTGAACCTGCGACCCTGGCGTTACAAGGCCGCGCTCTCACCAGCTGGGCTAACCAGCCGGCCCCCACCCCCATTCAGAAAGCTACGGGCCCCCCTGCCGGGAAGGGCGCCGTCGTCCGGGCAGCCGTCCAGGGCCTTCCCAGCCTCCCCGCCCGTCCCCGCCGGGGACACCCGCCCACCCCCGCGTCCGGGGTCCGCCGCACCCACTCCGGGAACAGCCTCGGGGAGCGGGTCGGCGCGGTCCCAGGAGGGACAGCGGCCAGTCCGGGGCCCCAGGTGGCGGGGGCCCCAGGACTGCGATTCTACCCACGCTCGAGGGTTGGGACTCCGAGTCCCAGAGCCCCAGGGCCCTCCCCGGGGGCACAGAGACCTCCTCCCCCGGCAGCGGTCCTGCCCACGCTGGGAAACCGGACCCTCCCTCCCAGCTCTGGTTTCCCGAAAACTCCTGACTTGCAGATACTAAGAATGGCTTCCCAGACCCTGCCTTCCCCGCCCCCGCGTCGTGCCGGAGTTCTGGCTCCAGCCCTCACGCACTTCAGACCCCGTCTCAGGACCCGGGCGTCCAGGCCCTCGTCGTTTCCCCGGCACCCCGTTTCTTGGGCCCCCCGGCTCGCGAGTTTGGGCGCACAGCCACCTCCTCCGTGAGACCCTGGGGCCCTCGCCTCCAGCGCCTCCTCCCGCAGGCCCGGTGTCTGAGCCCCCAGCCTGCCCTCCCTGGGAGCCTGGCATTCGGCTCTCTCTGTCCAGCTGTTATTTCTCGCCCTTTAGAGCACACGGCGGCGGAATGTGGGGCGGCTGACCAATGCCTCCCGCAGCCTTCTGGGAGTCTCTGAACTCCTTAAAGGGCTCCTCCTGGGGGCCCACCTGTCCTCCCTAGGGCCTAGAGGACGCAGCTGCTGTCAGAGGAGTGGGAGGAGGTCCTTCGACATGCCTGAGGCAAAACCAGGTGGCTGCTAGGACCCCTTCCCTATGTGGGACATGGGTCTATTTTCTGAATGGGGATTTGGGGCTCCTCTCTTCGTGGAGTTAGGAGAATGGGGTGCCTTCTCTGTGTGAAGAGGGGATTCCCTTCTTTGTGTGGGATGGGGGTCTCATGTGTATGGGAGGCCCCTTCCCCCTGCAGTAAGGCGGTTCCTTTTTCTGTAGTGGAGAGGGGAGCCCATCTCTGGGAGAGATGGGGATTCTCCGATTGTAAATTGGGGTCCCTTTTTCTCAATGGGGATGAAGATCCTGTGTGTGTAGGTTGGGGGGTATTTGCATGGTGATTGGGATCCTCTGTACTTGGGGATGGCATCCTCTGGGTGGGATTGGACCACTTTCCTGAGTGAAGATTGGGTTCTTTCTCGGTAGGATATGGGGTGCTTGTGTGTATAGAGATAGAGATTCCCATCTGTGTGGAGACAGAGGGAAATTCTTCTCTATGTAAGGATGAAGGGAACCGAGGCTTCCTTATGTAGGAATTAGGGGGAATTCTCCATATAGGGGCTGGGGTCCTTTCTTTATGTGGAGTTTAGGGACCCCCTTCTGTATATGGAGTGGGGCTTTCTCTCGATGAGGAAGACAACATGGGAGATACAAAGTCCATGCTGGGGGGATGGGGGGGGCCTTCCTGGGGTGTCCAGTCCACTGGCATCAGGCCAACCAGGCTGGGTTTGGGGTCCGGCCCTGTGCTGCAGCTGGGGTCCCAGCGGGCCAGGAGCCAGGCAAGGCAGGTGAAGGATGCTGTGGTCAGCACGAAGTGTCCAGTTTCCAACCCAGGGGCAAAGCTAATTATACCACCAGGACCCAAAAGGTCAGGATCTGGTGGCCTGGGTAGATGGGGTGTGGCATGCCTGGGATAAGGGAAACCTGATCCCACAGACTCTCAGGATAGAGATAAATTTACACCTAGCATGGGTGCCTGGACTCCTGGGTCTGAGGGAGGAGGGGCTGGGGCCTGGATTCCCAGGTCCTGGAAGAGGAGGATGCTGGGCACATGTTCAACCGTGAACATCTCTTACCTCACAGAGGCCAAAAAGACCCCTGAAGGTAAAGATGCCCCCAAACGAGCCTCCAAAGAAGCTCCCCCTAAAGAGGTTCCTAAAGGTGAGATGGTGTTCCCTTGGGCTCTGGCATCTGAGCTGGCATCTCATCTCCCCATCTTCTCCCTGTTCTCCGTCCTTCAGTCTGTCCCCACAGGGCCCCAGAGCTGACCTGCCTCTCCCCTGCTCACAGCCTTCCTGTGGCTCCCCAGTGCTCCCAGGACAGAGCCCAGCCCCTCAGCCAGACCTTGAGCTTCCATCAACTGACTGATCACCAAGTCCTGCCCAGCTCCAAATGCCTCAGTCTATCTTTAAACCTCTCTTATCCCAAAGGCCCATTTAAGACCCTCCCATCCACATAGGGGGAAACTGAGGCCCAAAGGGGTGGAGGTGCCTGCCCAAAGTCACACAGCCACCTGGGTGTGCATGTGGTCTTTCCCAGGTCAGGAAAAGCCACTTTGCTCCCATGGTCTTTGGTTTCTGAGCAGACTGTCCCTCACTGGCTCTAAACCCCTTCCCCAAAGTGGCTACCGACCCTTCCTCAGCCTATCTCAGGCCTCCTATTTCTGTCTTCTGAGCAGAAGCCTCACCTGAGGGCCAGTCTCCCATTGCTGAGGAGCCCACCGGCATTTTCCTAAAGAAGCCAGAGTCTGTATCGGTGGAGACTGGTGAGAGGGGCCGGGACTCCTGGGTCTGAGGGAGGGGGGCTGGGCGCCCGGACTTTGAGGACTGAGGGAGGAGGGGGCTGGGATCTCTCACCCTCACAATCCTCCTCTGGAGAGTCTTACTGTTCCTGACTGGCCCCTTCCTCCCGTCCCCACACCCACCCAGGAAAGGACATGGTGATCTCAGCCAAGGTGAACGGGAAGGAGTTCGAAGGCAAACCGACCATCAAGTGGTTCAAGGGGAAGTGGCTGGAGCTGGGCAGCAAGAGCGGGGCCCGATTCTCCTTCAAGGAGTCCCATGACTCTGCTAGCAATGTGAGGACCCTGTGGGACGAGAGGGCGTGTGGGCTGGGGCTGGAAGTTATGCAGGGCCTGCTTCTCAGGAGGCCTGTTGCCTGAGGCATAATTGTGGGCCTGGAGTCCTCTAGATGGGGAATGGGACCACCAAGGATAGAGGTTGTGGGGGCTGCTTGTTAGAGGTCGTGCTGGGCAGAAGAGAATGGGTTGGGGCAGAGCACACTGGGGCACAGCCATGTGCATTCCTAGAAAGGTCTCAGGGAGTCAGGGACGTGGGGTCCCAGGAGCTAAGACTGTCCAGGCATGGAAGGAGACAGTTGGCCACTGGGTTCCAAGCCACTCCCTCTCCTTCTAGGTCTTCCCTGGCCCCTCCTTTGGGGTGGGAATGAGGATTTGTCTCACAGAGTTATGAAGTGGGCTCTGGGGGATGTGGGGTGGCTCTGGGGAGTGGTCACCTGCACCCATACCCCTGGCCCTGGCCCCCAGGTATACACCGTGGAGCTGCATATTGGGAAGGTGGTACTGGGGGACCGTGGGGATTACCGCCTCGAGGTCAAAGCCAAGAACACCTGCGACAGCTGTGGCTTCAACATCGATGTGGAGGGTGCGCTGGCCGGGGATGGGGGCAAAGGGTTATAGTTCTGGGATGGGGGGGCGGATGCACCAGCCAAGTGTAGGGAGAGTGTACAGCATGGGATTGAGGTGGGTGCAGGCTTTTGGAGGAGGGAGCATAGATCTAGGGGTCAGGGTATCCAAAATGGGAGAGAAAGTTTATGGGCTTAGAGTAGGACAAGGTGTAGATTTGGGCTTAAAAGTGTTTAGGGCCTTCGGGTGCACCTGTGAAGGTTTAGGAGGCCAGTTATGTACATTCCAAGTTTGAGAAAGTAGGAGTAAAGCTTGGGAAGTGAAGGTGTCCAGGCTTGGAGAACACAGGTGTATGAAGGGGATACAGGATTAATAGGAGGCTTAGACAGATTTGGGGGCATGTGTGTGGAGCCCTGAGGGTGTATGGTCTCTGGGGGTCTGCACCTCAGGATGTTGGCAGCTTAAATATGGAGGGCACAGGGAATGAGATTGCCCAGGCATGGGAAGAAGGACGTGCTGGCCCCGGTGTGAGTGGGAGGGGAGTAACAGGCCACTGAGAGAGGCTGGTGGGTGGCAGCCAGGGAAACGAGTACAAGCTGGTCCCTGGAGCAGGTTGTGAGGGTCTGGAGAAGAGCTCCTGGTCTTGGATCAGGCTCTCCTCCAGTTTACTTTCCCTTCCCCCATGGCCTCTCCCCAGCACCTCGTCAGGATGCCTCTGGGCAGAATCTAGAAAGCTTCAAGCGTGCGTAAGTAACCTGGACCCGGGGGAGAGGTAGGTCTCCTGGTGTCAAGGACCATGGGAAGCTCTCTTCTGGGAAGGGGAAATGTGGGAAGAGGGAGGATTGGGGACCCCGGGATAAGTCTAAGGGGGGTTCACACCTCCTCTCAATGGCCACAGGGGTGAAGGGAAGTCAGAAAACGCTGGTGAGCTGGATTTCAGCAGCCTGTTGAAGAAGAGGTGAGCGCGCCCACCTGACATAAAGGGGAGACAGGGGCTCAAGGGCAGGAGGATGGGGGCTGATGCTCCACTGCTCCTTGCTCCCCACTGTCATCCCTGCTTGTCCATCCACCACATCCTCTATCTTTCCCTGCCTACCCAATATTCTACCCACCAGCCCTTCGGGCCACCTGTTCATCCACTCATCCACTCATTCGCCCAAACCCTACCCACAACCCCGTCCAACCAGCCATCTGCCCACCAATACACCTACCTACTCAGTCTTTAACCCGTCATCCTCACGTCCACTCTCCTATTTACTTAGGCTCGAATTCACCTACTCATCTACCTACTCGCCCAAGCAGCCATCCGTCATCCACTTTTCCACCCACCCACCAACCCACCATCTTCCCACCTGCTCATCCACCCGTCTGACATTACACTCGGCTGCCTGTTCGTTAGCCCATTCATTCGTCTTCCAGGCACCCACTACATTCATCTACTTCCCCACCTATTGAGGACCCCATGTGTCCACCTCTCCACCGCCCGTCCATTCTTACCATCCATCCGTCTTCCCACCTGCTCATCCACCCGTCTGACATTACACTCGGCTGCCTGTTCGTTAGCCCATTCATTCGTCTTCCAGGCACCCACTACATTCATCTACTTCCCCACCTATTGAGGACCCCATGTGTCCACCTCTCCACCGCCCATCCATTCTTACCATCCATCCGTCTTCCCACCTGCTCATCCACCCGTCTGACATTACACTCGGCTGCCTGTTCGTTAGCCCATTCATTCGTCTTCCAGGCACCCACTACATTCATCTACTTCCCCACCTATTGAGGACCCCATGTGTCCACCTCTCCACCGCCCGTCCATTCTTACCATCCATCCGTCTTCCCACCTGTCTATCCATCTGCACCTGTGTCTCTCTCCCACTGAACCCAACATCCCAACCACCCATCTACTCATCCACCCACCCATCTAGCCAGGCACTCCTCTATCAACGGTTCGCCTCTTTACTGACACACATATCCACCCAGATAGCTCTCTGTTAGATTGAACTCTATGAAATTGATGGTTAAAATGATTAGGTTAAAAATGATTGGATTTTGGCAATTTCATATTGTCCAGCATAATGCTTGTCCACTCCCTCATTGATTCATTATCTGCTGGTTCACCTACCATCCTTCACTCATCCATCTGTCCCCATAACCAAATCCCCAATAACCCTATTTAGGAATAGGCTCATCTGTTTGTCTCCAGCCAGCCAGTCACTCACTTGGCCATCTTCCATCAACATATTCACCCAACTGCCTGCCCAGCCATTTCCCACCAACTCATCAATCCGTCCACTCACCCAACCACCCCCCACCGACCCATCCATCTATCTTCCCACCTGCTCATTTGTTGACCCACCCATCCATCACCCTAGCCATCCATCAACCCCCCTATTTATCAGTCCACCTACCCACTGCTCTGCATCAATCCAAATATTCATATGTCCCCAGATTCACTCACTCATCTATCATCTCTTTGTTGCCTCCCCTTTTGTACTTCTTTCCAAAGATCCATCCATGCATTCATTCACTCTCTTACTCATCAGACATCTTCTGAGACCTCCTGCCTAACACACCATCAGCTGAGATCAGGGGACAGAGAGCAGTTTGGGTCCCTGATGTTGGCTCACTCATTGTCTTGGGAAGATGGGTCTGAACCACAGACAGACTATTTGGTGTGGTTAGGGATGGGGTCCCACAGGGGCCTGTGAGAGCCCACAGCAAGAGCGACTCGCTGCTTTGGAGGACAGGGAGTGCCTCACAGAGAAGGGAACTTCGGCACTAGGTCTGGTAGGATGAAGAAGAGTTCATAGGGAAGAGAAGGTGGGGAGGGACCATGAAGGCAGGGAAACATTTTGTATAAAGGCTGGGAGGCAGGAAAGAGCCCAGAGGTTTAGGAAAAGACAAGTAGCTTGGTGTGGATGGTTGCAGAGGAGGAGATAGGAAGGCGGGTGGGTCCAAGATTACTAGGCTGAGGAGCTGGGGTTTCCTACTAAAGGTAGTGGGGGAGCCATGGAAGAGTTTTGAACAGGGAAAGGATGGCATCTGATGTGGGTATCAGAAGTATCCCTCGGAACAGACTGGAAGGGAAGAGACTGGAGGCCAGCATGCCTGGGAAGAGGCTGGGGCGATTCTTCAGGTAGAAAAGAATAAGACCCAGAGAGGGCAGGTGACTTGGGTAGGTGACACAGCAAGCAAGTGGAGCAGGCAGAAGCAGACCTTCCCCTCCTCACTGCCTGGTGGTCTGGACCTGTTTCCCCCACCCTCAGGGAGGTGGTTGAGGAGGAGAAGAAGAAGAAGAAGAAAGATGATGATGACCTAGGCATCCCCCCAGAGATCTGGGAGCTCCTGAAAGGGGCAAAGAAGAGTGAGTACGAGAGAATCGCCTTCCAGTATGGCATCACAGACCTCCGTGGCATGCTGAAGCGGCTCAAGAAGGCCAAGGTCGAGGTTAAGAAGAGTGAAGGTCAGCACTGGTCTGAGGGGAGGTGGGCCCTGCCCATAGGGGCCCCCAGAATCATGGTTTATCTGATGTTTGGACCCTGGACCTGTCTTTTGGAGGTCCCAATCTGAGGAGTAATTGAGCCTCTGACCTTGAGCTTGGAGAGCCCATGGTCGGCGGAGGGAGGCTTGGCACTTATGGGGATGACCAGGGGAATGAGGACCTCTCACGTGCATCCCCTCTGCATCCCTCAATCTCCAGCCTTCACGAAGAAGCTGGATCCAGCCTATCAAGTGGACAGGGGCAACAAGATCAAGCTGGTGGTAGAGATCAGTGATCCAGACCTTCCCCTCAAATGGTTCAAGAATGGCCAGGAGATCAAACCAAGTAGCAAGTATGTTTGGGGCCATCCCCGTGGGGGGAGATCTTAGTCCAGAAAGAATGCTCAGAAATAAGACGAGGCACTCTCAACCAAGAAAGAGCACTCCCAGACCTATATGAAAAGCACAAATAGGGCCGGCCTGGTGGCGCACTCGGTTGAGTGTGGCGCTTGGGAGCGCAGCGGTGCTCCCGCTGAGGGTTCGGATCCCATATAGAGACCAGTCCGCTCACTGGTTGAGCGCGGTGCGGGCGCGACACTGAGGGTTGCGATCCCGTTACCGGTCACGAAAAAAGACAAAAAGGAAAAAAAAATGTAATTTTCCCTGAGGAAGGGTTTCAGGTTCAGGGTTAACTCCCAGGGCAATTGCTCACCACCCAAATCAATGCCCTAATCCCTGGGCTTAAGACATTTAAATTAAATTGACGTGTTGGTCAATTGTCATTTCTGTCTTTGTATATCATTGATCACAAACTCTTGGTTCCAGAATGAGGTCCAACAAAATTCTAATGCTTCAAAGAAAACTGGAGAAGGCATCAAAGTCCAGTGGCAGCCCTTCAACTGCCCCTGGTTGGGTGTTCCTCTGCCTAAGCCACTCAAGCTTCAGGCCTTAGTATGCCCCCTACCTGACATGCAATGAGGACGAGGTCAGCTCTTGCCAAGCTGGGGGAAGTGGGTGCTGAAAACACAAGGGACCAGGCGGAAGGGACGCCAAGCTCTAACTGTGAATGCGCCAGCCTTGGCCATCCTGCGCCTGCTCACTCACTCCACACCTGTGACCTCAAGCATCTCCAGCTGAAAAATGGAAATGAAGGGTCTCTAAGATCCATTGTAGTTCTACAATTCTGAGTGTGGAGAGTCTTTAACCATGATATATGTTAAGGAAATCTCTTCCTGGAGTGAAATGATGTGGGGGAAGAGGGATAAGTGTTGAAGAGGATCTCTGTCTGTGGCTCTCTGCTTTGGTTGGTTCATGAATTCGACCTAAGGAGGGCCGGTTAGAGCAGGACCAGAAGCAAATCTAGTTGCAGGTCCTCAGATCCCACCAGGACACCTTCCTGTGATTCAATTCATTGGCCAAGAAGGAGCCCAACAACTACCCTTAATTTGGTGACCAAATGGAGAGAGTGAAAAATGCAGGAACCCTCACAACAAACTGCTGGAGAACTGGGAAAGAAAGGCTGGCACCATTGGAAGACTGAGAACACCAACCTGGCTTTAACACCAGTAACAGAGGCCGCCCATGCCCAGGACCTCCCTCAAGTAAGCAGGGAGGCGGGGCTGCCTGCCAGGGAGTTCACACCAATAAGAGTCTAAAGCAACCCCGGTGCAGGAGCCCAGTTTGAAGTGCGCTCTTTCAAGATGGTCCCTTAGTATATAATCTAAGGTCAAAGGTCAAAAATTCCCACTTCAAACTTCCTTTTGGGGGGCTTTCTTTTCAGGGAGGGGTGGGAGAGGGGGAANTGCTCACTGGGTGAGCGTGGTGCTGACACCAAGTCAAGGGTTAAGAGCTCCTTACCGGTCATCTCTTTAAAAAAAAAAAAAAAAGCACAAATAAGTCACTAGAAAAAATAGAGAAGGGCAATGAAGAACAGGAATTCAGACGAGAAGAAATCCAAATAAGCCAATCAGATGCGAAATACACCTTCAACCTTGCAAATAATAATAAAAATCCAAAACAAAACTACAATCTTCGTGCTGTGCTGATGGGAAAAAGCTTTACAAAATGATAAAACGCAGTGCTGGAGAAGACATGGGGAAATGGGTACACGAATGCTGCTGGTGGGAATGTAAATTGGTAAATCTCCAAAAGGGTAATAATGTATTAAAAAGCCCTTAGACTATGCAATTCTAGGTGTTTATTATAAGGGATTTATCATGGTTATACATATTTAGCTGCAAGGATGTTCACTGAAGCAATTGCTATCATAGCAAAAAATGGAAAACAACCAAAATGTACACGTCTCTACTAAGGTGCTATGCAGTCACTGAAAAAGATGTTCTAGAATATATACTAATATGGGAAACTGTTCAAGGTTACTTTTTTTTTTTTCTTTTAAAGATGTCTTTTTCTTTCTTTCTTTTTTTTTTTTAAAAGATGACTGGTAAGGGGATCTTAACCCTTGGCTTGGTGTTGTTAGCACCACGCTCAGCCAGTGAGCGAACCGGCCATCCCTATATAGGATCCGAACCCGTGGCCTTGGTGTTATCAGCACCACACTCTCCCGAGTGAGCCACAGGCTGGCCCCTGGGGATCTTAACCCTTGACTTGGTGTTGTGAGCACCATGCTCTCCCAGGTAAGCTAACTGGCCATCCCTATATAGGATCCGAACCCGTGGCCTTGGTGTTATCAGCACCACACTCTCCCAAGTGAGCCACGGGCTGGCCCAAGGTTACTGTTATGTGCAAAACATATATTTCCCATTTCTACTTCACAAAATGTTAATCTACATGTGTATAGATAAAAAGATTGGAAAGAGGCTAAAATATTTGCAGCAGTTGTCTTTCAGTGGACAATTATGGATGCATTAAATTTTTTTCCTTGGCAGTGTTTTTTAAATCTCTCATAATGAGGGCTGGCCAGATAGCTCAGTTGGTTAGACTGCAGCCTTATCACATCAAGGTCATGGGTTTAGATCCCCATACTGGCAAGCCACCAAAAAAAAAAGAAAAAAAAAATTCCCATAATGAGCTTTTTTGGTAAGATAAAAAGTTGTGTTAGTTAAGGTACAGGTTAAGTTGCTGTAACAAAAAGTCCCCCAAATACATTTATGTTAGAGAAAAGTGTATTTCTGGTTGATTGAGGGCGGTGGGCCAGCTTTTCTCCAAGAGACTATTTGGGGACCCAGGTTCTGTCCATACTGTTGGCGACACCATCTTCTGTGGCATTGTCCTCATCCATATTGGGGAAGCAGGGTCATGGGCATGTCTGTGTTCTGACTGACAGGAGGGGGGGATGGAGAGAAGTTTTGAGCAAGCAATTTGTCTCAAAATTGGAGACAACCTAGAAGTTACAAGCATCACTTCCACTCATATTCCACCTCCCCACACTCAGCCCTTCGGCCTTTCCAGCTGCAGACGAGACTGGAAAATGTAGTTCCAGCTGTGTGGCCAGGTGCTGCCTGCTGAAGGGAAGAAGGTGATGGATGTGGATTGACAGTTGGCATTTCTGCTGTGGTTATTTAAATAATAGAAATTGGATTCTGTCTCTCCTCCCACACAATTTGGCTCTGAGAGGGAGAGAGAGACTTGCCCTGAGAACAGAGATCTATCCAGGGCTAGGCAGCTGCTTCATGCCCCGGGCTGAGGTGAGACTTTCACACCAGGTACGTGTTCGAGAATGTCGGTAAGAAGAGAATTCTCACCATCAACAAGTGCACACTGGCAGATGATGCTGCCTACGAGGCAGCCGTCAAGGATGAGAAATGTTTCACCGAGCTCTTTGTCAAAGGTGAGGCCGAGATGTGGACCTGAGTGTGGGGCCTGAGTGTGACTCTGGAGGGGGTCCTGAAACTACTGACCTTCTGTTCCTCTGCTCCACAGAACCTCCAGTCCTGATTGTCACACCCCTTGAAGACCAGCAAGTGTTTGTGGGTGACCGGGTGGAAATGATGGTGGAGGTGTCGGAAGATGGTGCCCAGGTCATGTGGTAAGTGATCCTTGATTCCTGACCTCTGTACAGGTGCCCACAATCTCTTTGCCTCAGCCCTGATCTTTATGAGACACTCTATGACCTCTTTTGGGGATTTCTGGCCTTTACTCAGTAGCCACCAGGAGACCTCAGCCCTTCTCTGTGATCCTGGCTTTCACCCATGACCTCTTCCCAGAACTTCTGACCTCTGCCCATCCCGTCCTCTTTGGGGTTCTTTTCCTGATCCTTGCAGTTTCACTGAATATTTATTCATCCATTCAACCAGTCTTCTGTCTTTGGTCCATCCATCCATGTATCCACTCGCCCTCCCATCCATGCCTTCATCCATCCATCCATCCTCCATCCATCCCATTGGTTCCTACATCCCTCCATCCATACACACATTCACCCATCCAGCAAATATTTATCGAGCATCTAGGGTGTGGTGCCACTCTTCTGCATATCAAAGACATAATGGGGAGGAAAAAAACATCAACATGGTACCTGCTTTTATGGCATTTATAATGTGGGAAATTGGCAGTGGAGGTGTGTGTGGAGAAGCGAGAGACAGGCATCCGTCAAGTCATCACACAAATAAATACAGAAGTTCTATTCTGACAAGCGGTTGAAAGGAGCAGCAGTAGTTGCTGTACCAGCTTTCAATAGGAGGAAGGGACTCGGGAGCTCTGGCAAGGCTTCCTGGAGGAGGTGACAATGAGGCTGAGATCTGAATGATCAGGAGGTATAAGTGAACTGGGAAGAGGGGAGTGCCTTGGGCAGGGCAAAGGCCATTTACAGAGGCCACAGTATTTGACATCTCTCTGAGACCCTAAGGCTTACTCTGTGCTCTGACCTCTCCCCCTAACCTCCAGCTAGGAACTTGAGGCATCTCCCTGTGGCCTGAGACCTCCTCCTCTCTCTATCTCCACTGACCGCACCTGTGACCCACCCATCACTCAAGATGCTTCTGCCAACCTTTATCTCTCCTCCCTCCTGTGATCTCCCTTCTGACCCCTCTGCTCTGGTCCCTGACTCACCCTCGGAGACCCCGAGCAAGAGCTGTGGTGGCCCCTAACTGCCCCTTTCATGTCCCTTCTGTGCAGGATGAAAGATGGTGTGGAGTTGACCCGGGAGGACTCCTACAATGCCAGATACCGTTTCAAGAAGGACGGGAAGCGCCACATTCTGATCTACTCAGATGTGACCCAGGAGGACAGGGGTCGCTATCAGGTCATGACCAATGGTGGCCAATGTGAGGCTGAGCTCATTGTGGAAGGTATGGGGCCTTGGGGTGGGGCAGGGGGCCAGTGCTTGGCATGCAGTGGGTGCTCACAAGTATTTGTGGACTGACTGGAGCAGTGGCGTCCCCATCTCCTTCCCTCCCCACCCAGAGAAACAGCTGGAAGTCCTGCAGGGTATCGCGGATCTGACAGTGAAGGCCTCAGAACAGGCCGTGTTCAAGTGTGAGGTTTCTGACGAGAAGGTGACTGGCAAGTGGTACAAGAACGGCATTGAGGTGCGGCCCAGCAAGAGGATCACCATCTCCCATGTGGGGAGGTGAGCAGTGGGCTGGGGGCATGGTGGGGCGTGAGGATCAGTTAGCTCCAGCTGCATAACAAACCACCCCCAGACTTACTGGCTTGAAAGAACAAGGGTTAATTTAAGTCTGTGGGTTGGTTGGAGGCTGGGCCTCACTCTTGCCTCTGTGGTTGGTGAATGTCAGCTCTGCTAGTCTTGCCGGGGCTCTTTCAGGACCTCAGCTGCCACCACTCTGGTCCACATGGCATCTTATCCCCCAGAAAGCTGGTCCTGGCATGTACACATGGCAGAATCAGAGGTCCTGAGAGAGTGAAAGCAAGCAAGGCCTCTGTGGCCTAGGCTGGAACCTTCTGCCCCTTCTATTGTCCCAATGTCACTTCTGCAGTATTCCACTGAGCAAAAAAAGTCCCAGACCAGCTCAGATTCAAGGGGTGGGAAATAGACTCCACCATTTGGTGGGCAAAGAGGGGGCACTGCAAGGTCTCATTGCAAGGGCCCTGATACGGGGAGGGAAGAACCCGTAGCCATATTTGTAAACAGTCTACATGGGAGGGTCCAGTTAGGGAGACAGAGGCTGGAATTCCACAGATAACACGTAACATGTGGACACTGGAGACAAATACCTGGTTCCCTACAGAATGCAGGGCCACTGTGTCGCTGGTAGAAAGTCATGCTCTCGTGGGTTTCCTGGGAATAGCTTTTGGCAGGATGTAGGCTTTCTCTATGTTCTGTATAAGGAACCAGGCCCACTGGTGGTGTCAATAGTGATGGCAACAAGTTCTGCCACTTACAGGGCCCTTGCTTTGTACCACATACTTTTCTAGGTGCTTTACAAGAACACTGATGTGCACGCTTACTGTTGAGCTTCTTTTATAGATGAAGAAACGGAGGCACAGAGAGGTTGAGTAACTTGCCTAAGGTAACACAGCTAGGAAGTAGGATTTGGAAGTAGGAAGTAGGATTAGCTAGGAAGTAGGCCATAGCATTCCACAGCCCTGACTAAAAATGCTGGGTGTTTCTCAAAGGAGCATTGAGGG